AAATTAATTATTTTAAATTTCATTATAATTTTTTTTAAATTCTATATATTTTAAACTGAAAAACTAAAAAAGAATTTATAAATCTAGAATAAAAAATTTAAATTAAAAAAAACAAAAAAGAAAACAAAAAAAACGAAAAAAAAAAGGGCCTTTGATTTCTCAAAGGGATTTTTCCAAAATTTTGAAAAATCCCTTTGAGAAATCGGTTACCCAGTAACCGATTTCTCACCTACAAAACTAGGTGGTATATTTAGGTAAATATATTTCACTCTGGGTTATTTAAATAATAATAAAAAAAAAACAGTATATTAAAAAAAAAAACTCTCTATACTCCTCCATTATATTCAATAATTAATTTATTCACTTTTTTTCTTTAACTGAAACATAAAGTGTCTTTAATTGAGAAAAATGTGCATTAAGTACACAAATGCCTATAAGTAGAAAGAAAAACTGCATTTACCATGAAAAAGGGAAGAAGCTATAACATTAAGTCTTGTAATCTAGCTTTTTACTACTACTTTTTTTTGTTATGATACATTAGAGGGTACACATTGATGACTTTGCCAACCCTGTGTTACTGTACAAATAACATGCAGTAACCAGTACAAACAACAAAGAATATTATTATATATATGGCTAATGTGAAATCAGAAGTTGAGGTTCATCCTGAGCTTGTACCACACTCTCTTGCAAGCACCCACAAACATCCATCCTCTCTTAACTAGGAATCTGGTCATTCCAAATCTAATTTCATGTTGCTCCCTCTGTTGAATTGTTGTCCTTGAATCAAGTAAATGATTTTTTGTCATTGAATCTAGCCAATGAAATTAACTAGCAAAGAATTGGGTGAAATCAAATGACTAGAAGGTTCAAACTTCAAAGTCTTAATTAGATGATGATTTCTAGATTATATGAATTAATCTTGCTCTTCGATTTTCTATAGTACCCGTGTGGTTTGCTTATATATGCATATTAACTTTGAGGTTGTTTTGAACTACCATCAAGGTAACAAGATCTTGATCCTTGTCCATTGGTATAGAGAATACTTTGCTTCAACCGTGGGTATTGGCAAGTTAATTATGGATGTTCTAGTCGGTTTGTTGCAACATTACGTACTGTATTTAGTGTGTTATTGTTATAGTCTTCAATTTGTTAATTTTATTGAGTAGTTGAAGTTCTTTAAATTTGGTCAAGATAAGTAAATGACGTGTTCATTTGGTTTGCTATATGTTTATCTAATTCTTAGCTTCCGGATCCCTCCAACAACTAGACTAAAAAGAAGAGAGGATAAATCGGAAAGTTTGTATTTCGAATAAATTTGTAATTTTGTTTCTCGTAAATTTTTTTCTCTATTTTTCACATTTCTAAAATCTATAATTTTTAGTCTCTATAAAATTAAAAAATTTTGATTTTAGTTTCTATAAAATTATTTTTAATTTTTATCTCCTTAAAATTTAAAATTATTATTTTTAATCCCTAATAATCATTTTTAATGTAATATATATTTAGAGAGAGAGACAATTTGTTTATTTTAGAAATAAATTTATTTAGACTTATTATGTTATTAGTAATTCATGTTCTACATCAAATTTTATTATCTAATCGTTGAATTTAAAGTTTTTAATATTTATATCAAGTCTGCAAATTTTTTAAAAAATTAAAAATTATTTGATATTTCATTTTATTAATTTAATTCAATTCAATGTATAAAATACTTTTATGATTATTCATCAATTGAAATTAATGTACAATATATTTTTGTGAATAATCGTTAATTTGAGTTAATGTAAGAAAGTATCAAATAAATTAATATAAAAATTTGTAAAATTGATCTATTAATTAAAAAAAATTAATCCAATAACTGAATCGTTAAAATATAATGTAAAACATGATTTATTAAATGAAATAAGTTAACAGTAAGTAAATTCTTTTTCTTATATATATGTAATATTTATTATAATTTATAATAAAAAAAATTTGTTTCATAAGGAAGCATTAATGCAACTACTCTCTTCAAGCTGAGAATTGATCTTGCCCTTTTCTGGAGCAATTATTGAAGAGTAATCACACTCACTTACACACCACTGCAGTTTGAATCGTAGAAAATGCACATTTGTTTTTTATGGTAAAAACATATTGAATGTTGATAAATGGATTCATTGCCTAAAACTCTTGGACCAAACCCTTTCTATGATCAGAACCTTGAAGAGAAGGTTGTTGCGGATGGGTGAAGTATTGTTGGGATTTTAATTACTTTGTTGTTATACATAACCATAATATTATTTTAAATTTAAATTTAAATTATTAATATAAACACTAACTAATTAAAGTAAATTTCCCTTAAATACCTTTACACTTGATTGATAATTAAAAAGCCCCTCTAGGCTCCAGTCTAATGAATCACCACACGTGTATTTATTTGTTTTGAGAAGATAATAATTGATTAGAATTTTTTACGTATTTGAATTTAAGAAATGATTGGTTTTGGCCTTTTGAGTTTGATAGTTGGTGGTTGCGGAGTGAGAGGGCGAAAAGCAAGGATGTTGGGTTTTAGTTAGGTGTGTAAGTTTTAGGTATAATGTAGAAGCATGAGAATTAAGTAAAGTCAAAGCTTGAATTGGATAAAGTTTTTGTCTGGCACGCACCAAGTGCCATTTCCTTCTCTAACTACCATTCCCACACCAACAAGACGACCCGCAGTTGAAGATCGCACACTTCACTTCACTTCAACATGAGTCTTCTTCATTCACTCCGCACTCTCCTTCTCGCTCTCGCGCTTCCTCTCTCTCTCTCTTTCTCTCTCTACAATGCCGGAGCACCGCTCCACCGCCGCCGCGCCCTCCGCCGCCGCCGATGGAGGAGCCACCTGGAACTTGCGCCATGGCTCCGCCGCCGCTGTTAGGGACGACACCTGCTCCTGCTTCGCCGTCGTCTTCAGCTTTTGGTTATTCGGTGAGGGAATCTTCGATTTGGACTCTCTCATTGATTAGGTTAAGGTTACTTTTGCTTTGTCACTTTGTGTTGTTCAGATTCGTGGTTTTTTTTTTCTTCTGGAAATTAACTTCCTCTCGTTCGTTAATTCGCCTTTTTATGTTGACTAATTGAAGAATTTGAATCGTTGATGATGAATTGCAGTTAGTTTTAAGTGTTGCGTTTTCGAAACCCAAATTACCGATTGAAAATCGTGCTTAAGAAATTTGACATTGAGGAAGGAATTAACTATTATTATGATCGTTATTAACGCTCTGTTGTCATGATTTTTGGAGTCTTGATGAAAGTCCGGTTCATTGGAAATGTAGAATGAGAAAATAATAAGTGTAATCTATATGATGAAAATGAATGAGAGAGATAAAAAGTAATAAATGAAATGAAAATAAAAAGAGGAAGTTGTCAGACAATTATCATTTTTTTAAATAATTTTTTTAATGCTTTATTGTTGTTGTAGTTTTAACTTTTTATTTATTAAAGACAAAACCTAAAGAGTGATTTTTAAATACTTTTTATGGTATTATTATTATCCTATCATAATTCGAGTTTTATTTTATAATATATGCTGCTTTTTTAATATAAACTTTTATTACTTGAATTAATGAAGTAAAACTTCAATTTTATTAAGGGACAATAAGATGAAAAAAAGAGTTAAATGTAAATATTTTCCATCTATTAATTGGTGTACACTCACAATTTTTCTTTTTAACTTGAAACTACTGTTGCATGGAGGGGACCGTGGTTTGAATGTGTTTCTTTTTTAATTTTTTTTATTAATATTCTGATTTCTGAAATTCATATTGCAAGCTACAGTATCTATGACAATGATGTTGGGGGTTTATGGGTCCATGACCATCGTGCTTGGTCCAAAATCTTCGATTGTTTACCAACCTAACCCTTTTTTCGTGCAATCTGTGAAGGTCAGTTATCATTGCTATTTTATATTTTTATTTATCTGTTTTGGATTTGTAGTTAGTATCTTCGTAAAATGGTTTTTTTGCATTAGGTAGAAAACTTAGAAGAAAAACCAGGCCCAGGACCCATTCTTTATGGTACATATAAGTATCCGCCACTTGATGTTGTTTCCACTTGGGGAGAAACAAATAATGTGTCTCTTCCCTCTGGCTCACACAAGGCAAGCATACGTACTTTCCATTTCTTTTCCCTTTTAAGTTTTAACCCTCACAGGTTTCTGAATTCACATATTGCAAAAGAAACTGAATCTCATTATTTGTTGCTGAAGTGAAGCCTCACATTCCTGAGGGTGAACTAACAATCTTTTGTCGTGTCTTCCTCAGGAATGGAAATATTATCTTAATAAAGGGTCTGCAATAAATATTTCGTATCACGTGAGCTCTAGGAGCTCTTCTGTTTTCGTTATAATTGCACAAGGTATTCTTTCTTCCCGAGATTTCTGTGGTTTCTCCTTTCATTTTTTTGAATTTAACTACCTGTTAGATATTTAATAGTATAAAACCCTTTTTAACCAAGTAGGAAAAGTAAAAACAAGAAACTCCTTTGGTTTCACCCTCTAATTTCACCAAGTGTGATCCACTCAAATTTATTTTGGTTCTTCTTCCTTAACATTTATTAAGTTTATTTTCGGCTAAGCAAATTATTTCTTTAGAAGTTAGAAATTTCTATGAAGTGTATTTTATTTTGTCCTAATTATAAAAACATAGACTTATTTTCAAATGCATTAATTGTTAAATTTTCTTTATATCATTTATTTATTGTGAAATTCATTTTCATGTAAGCATATGCATTTATCACTCCATTAACAATAAACTTCATCCGTTTTTTTATTGTTTTGACTTTTTTTTTCATTATCACTTTTTTAAAATTAATGACTTATTAATTTTTTTATTATTTTTATTCTTGATAATTAATGTGTGTTTATTCATTTTTCAATGTACTTATTTCTTTTCTAACCATTTAAAGAGTATAATAGAAAAATAAATAATAAATACTTTGAAAAATTAAAATATTAATTATTTTTTTAATTCTTGTGCATAACTTTAAACGTCAAACAAAAAAAAATGGAGGAAGTATAGTATTTCCTTTGCTCTCTATTATAAGAAAAATAAATATACATTTTTTTAAATATAAACAAATTTAACTATTTTTATATTATTTAATAATATTTTTCTTAAAATATTATTCCCTTAATATGTTGTACTACTTCTTTTGACATTTATAACAAGAATAATTTAAGAAGAATCTTATGAAAATAAAAAAATTTAATGTAAATAACCAACTTTTTTTAATATGTGTAAAATCAGTTATTTTTACTTATAATAGAGAATAGAGAGAATAAGTTACTATTGTAGGAAAAATTATTCCTTGAATCACAAGTAGTGTCATTAAACATGTAGTAGGAGATGTGGTCTACCACGATAATCTCTCATCCACTGAGTTGAGAAAATGTGGTAGAATAAAAAATGACTACTACTTCTCACAAAAACAAAAAATATGTCTGTGACTTAAATCATTTAATTCTATAATTATGTCTATAAAAAAATTTAATTTATAATATTATTAATTGAAATTAATTTTTCTTTTAATTAATCTTGATGAATTAATTATTTGTTTAAGGATGAAATATCTTCTTTGGAGTGGAATATGTCCTTTTCTCTTCTTTTTGTTATAGTCTGTTAATCTTATAGTAGGTTCCCTGTTTTAGTATTTCTTGACCTGTTGCTTGCTAAAGAATTACTTACACCAAAAAGAGAAAAAAAAATCATTAGAATTTTTTTATTTGTGTTTTTTTTTCACTTCTTTTTGTTTGGCTTTACTGGAAAATTAATGATAATATTTACTGAGAGATTATTTTTTTGAACTTTGTTGGCAGAAATTTTTCTATATATAGCCGTGTTTGACTTCTTGCTATAACATCCTTCTTTTACAATCCTGTTGTGCCTCTTTTGGGAAATTCTCTAACTAAACAAAATAAAAACAGACAGTTTAATTGGCAGGACTTGTTTCGTTCTTCATATCTTCTTAACATGTAAGCTGTGACTGCCTATTAGCATTCAAAATAGCAGCTCATGAATTACTAGTACAAAGTAGCTATCCTACATTCTACTATATATCTCTTACATGGGAATTTATCCTGTCTCGCAAATTTTACATCACAAGGTCATGTGCATGTTTTGTGTCTCTCTCTACATTAACATTAAAGGAGAAAATATATTTTTAGTTCCTATACATTCGGTCAAATGTGGTCAAGGTCACTTTCATATGTATGAATTTGGTCCTCAAACTAAATGTGGATTTAGTCCCTCCTCTAACAATCCTTCATGTTTTAAAGTTAACAAGACTAAACCCGCATGACCTTTTTTTTTTTTTTTTTTTTTTTTTTTTTTTTTTTTTTTTTTTTTGTCACAACTTCGTAATTTTCTATCTT